TCTCCTCCTTGTCGAAATGAGGCTCCATATTTTGGAAATAGGAGAGAAAGAAAATGTGGGGGTGTGTATAGCATGACTGGGAGACACAACCAGATTCCCCAAATCGATCTAACAGAGGTAGATGAGGAGGCAGATGACAAGAGCAAACATAGACAAAACCGATTCTCTAACTGGTTTTGCGAGTGAGAAATTGGGCACGACGAATAGCACCGTGGCCTTTGAAACCACCGGAAGGACTTGTGTGAAAGCAATCATTCAAAACGGTCAAAGATTCCATTCTGACCAAGAAGTGACAGCTTCCGATATTGATGTTTAGAAAGGATAAATTTGCATTTGTGCGCATTTCGACCAGGATCTTTTTAGTAAACAGGTTCTCTACCTCTTAGGTGTTCAATTAAAGTTCACTTGTGGGGCTGCATAGGTAAAAAAAGATACGGTAATAGGCAAATTTCCTCTTCATATAAGCAGAATGTCATGAAAATTTCAAATTTTGATATGGGGTGCTCAAAATTTTTAGCCCTTAGCCCATTAGGTAATTGGATCATACTACCAAATTGGAACTTGGTATGAAGCTGCTGTCATGAGAATCATGCACGCTATCATCGCTCATCCTGACTGGGATTATCCGGTGCTGTCAACGGCTGACGGCACCAGATGAGCAGTAGCGATGTTTGAACACGGAGGAAAGGAAAGGAAAAAAAGATATCAAGCCAGAGGTGAGTTTTCTGTATAGTAATTGACTTCTTCTCGTTATGTAATATATACAACAAGTAGCATTTATCCATCTAGGGTTGGTATGTGGTGATGACTTTTAAGGCGCCATTGCATACTTAGTTTAGGACACAGGTGAGCTAATTGTGTTATTGATGAAGATGTCACCTGAAGATAAGCAGAGAAAGGGTGGGGGGGAGGGTGCGGTTGGGGTCGAGTAAGACTGTTTTTTGTTTGAATTTTGACTTCTGAACAGTAATCTGCATTTGGTATTTGTTCAAATATTGTATGTTTTATTGCCTAGGAAAAGGAAATCATTTGTTTCAGCCTAAAAGTCGATGTTTCGATGACCGATTTCTCATTTGTGCTCTCCGTAAACTTCATTCCAAATATCGAGGTATGCCTCATTATTATCTATTATATCTTCTAGAACCAGCAGGCTATTATTCCCTAATTTTCAAAACGAAGCATTTAATTCTGTACAGTCCTCTGCATTTGACATTTGCCCAGATATTATATGTTCATCAGGTTTGGGAAAAATTAATTGTTGTTTTTTTTCTCTCACGAATTAAAGTTAATTATCACATCTGGTTTGACAAGAAAGCCTATTGGTTGTTGGTGGGGAGTTATTGGGGTCATAGTATTCCCTAATGGCAAGTTCGAAATGATACTAAATGGTGTCACAGGTGAGTTAGAAGGGAATTGTTACTCACTCGTGGCATCGATTTTAATTTTCACATTCGGTTCACCTGCGTATATTTAATTTGCATATCCAACCAACTGGAGGCTCATTTTACTGGAGTTGCAAGCACCGACATCTTCACATCGCAGCAAATTCAATTTTTTCTCCAAAGGTACAAGTATATGTTTGTGTTTATCGCCTCAGTGGGTTTATGGGAGAACACACAGCTATATCTGTGAGGTAGCAATTTGTGATAGGAGCAGTGGAGTTAGGCAGAATACTCTCTGGTGTCACTCAAAAGTACCACTCGAAGAGGTGGACGAGGGTGGAAGAGTTAATAGAAACATTGAAATGCCCGGACTGATGGCTTATTGATATGTAATTAGACGTACTGTGCGTTTGCAGGCCTATTTTTTTCTACTTTTTTGGGACTTCCATAAAAGTTCTTACATGATTCAACTTTTGCACGCGAGCTTCAGATTTTTGCTCAAATTGTATTCCATTACTCAAAAATCCACATGGAATTAATAGTTGATAAATTGTTGCACCTTGAAGTAACCCAGCTGAAGTCACTATGCTTGTAGATTGGGAAGAGTGATGTAAACTTACCTCTACACAACTAAGTAGAATACTAGACTCATTCGTATTGGTGACATTTGAATTGCAAAAAACACCATCAGTTCCGCCTAGGTCATTGAGTTCTGAGAAATGCCTTGCCGTGGAATGCATAGTCCACTCGAAACTAGTCGAAACAACCGCACATTCTCAGATCAAACACTCACTCGGTTTTCTGAAAGTCCTTCTGTTTATTCAGCTCAAGTAGATCCTAAATCGCACATAGAAGACCATTAGTCTTAATCGCAGATCAGCGTCTTGTTCAGATTAGGAACCAAATAGCAAGAGGTGGAGTCAAGCTAGGAAGACAATCAAATTTGTACAGTTGACTATTACGCATGTACAGAAATTATCTCTCATTGTTGTGGGCAACTAAACTACCATTGTCTTCTTCGTCGTTCTCTTTTGAATACAACACTTTAACTACTTTTATTTTGTAAATGTGTACTTAAATGGTGCATTACACGCAGAGTATGCTCAAGCCAATCGTTGCTTCATGATCCCGTACACATACAAAACTCCACTGCTTTCTCCACAATAAACTCACCTTCCTCTTTTGAGTTGTACCTCATTCAAAGAAATGTTCCGACGTGTAGGTTTTGTTGTTGCTATTTTTAATATTATAATTATTATTATATCAAATGGCAGGTGTCTTGATGGTTATCATTAGCCCTTTAGTTGACTTCAGGCTTCACAGAG